TTTTTAGAACTCTCTGATATTTCCTGTGAAATGAGGTAAGAGGGAGAAGAAGAGGAAGTAGAACTTCTGCCTTCTTGCCGAGAACAAAGTAAATGTAAAAGCATGCATTCAGAAAAGGCTGTGGTCTGTTTTACTTAGGCATTTATCTTTAGGTAGTCTGAACTAAGATCAAAAATTCCATAATACATTAGTTGAACACTGTATGAGCAAATCTACAATCTGGTTCACATAATGTGCTAAAATATGGCTTGCATAACCAGGATATCTACGGTTAAATTAGTTGACTTGAATTATACAATCAAAGCATAATCTGTAATTTACCAATTACAATGATCCACTGCTAGGCCATAATATGGCATCTTTGGTCTTGAATAACTGTATTCATGAAATCAAGCCAGTGGGAGTTATAAATATGCTTATGTTAGAATGATCTGAAGATCCAACCCATCTAATATAGAAAGCAATATATGACCTTTTCCTTATTTTTCCATTCATTTCCACACTATGTTTGTTTCAACATACCTTCTATACTTAACAAATATACATTGAATCTGAAGCTCAGTTCCCTCATCTATCTGTTGGAATAGGGCAGGGGTCTCTAAACTTGGCAACTTTAAAACTTATGGACTTGCTGGCTGGAGAATTCTGGGAATTGAAGTCCACAAGTCTTAAAGTTGCCAAGTTTGGCAACCCCTCAAATAGGGGGAGGATAGGTCATCCAAACTGTTATGTTTTAAATAAATAAAAAATAAAAGAAAATTGTGAAGATGGGCCATTTGAGGCTAATAGAATGGCTTAAATCAAGATGCTTCAAATGAGTCTTGATTTGTACTACTAATTAGAAAACAAAAACCAATTGTTCCTGATATAGTATTTGGCAGAGCTTTTTTTCTCATAGAATGCCCAGAACGGAGTTCCGGCACCTTTTTTGGATGGAATCTTGTAGGGTAGGCAAGGCGGGTTGTATGACATGTGTGAATTCCGGCACCTTTTTTTTTTTTTTTTAGAAAAAAAGCACTGGTATTTGGGCATATTGATCCATCAAATACTTGATATGCTAAACATGAAATGTCTTTTACAGGCCTCAATGATTACCGTCCGGTTGTACTGACATCCATCATTATGAAATGCTTTGAGAAGCTGATAAAGAACATTATTGTATCTAGCCTCCTGCCAGCATTTGACCTGCTTCAGTTTGCTTACAGAGGATGCTATTTCCTCTGTTCTCCATCTGAGCTTGGAGCACTTAGAGGAAAGAAATACTCATGTGCGTTTGTTGTTTGTTGACTTCAGTTCACCATTTAACACAATCATTCCCCAGTAATAGACAAACTGGGCCTTTTAGGCTTAAACATTTCTTTGTGCAACTCGATTCTTGATTTTCTAACAAGCCCCAATATGTGCGAGCTGGAACAAATATTTCTAACACCATTTTCTTGAGCACAGGTTCTCCTCAGGGGTGCGTCCTAAGTCCACTGGTGTTCACTCTGTTGACCCATGACTGTTGTGCTAGGTTTGCCACAACCATATTGTGAAGTTTGCAGATGATACAACAGTAGTGGGCCTTATTCAAGATGACAATGAGGGTGCTTATTATAGGGAGGTTGAGGGTTTGGTGGACTGGTGTAAGGAAAACAGCCTAGTATTAAACATTAGAAAAACCAAAGAGATCATTGTTGATTTCAGAAAAGGCAGGCACAGCCACACTCCTCTGTGCATCAATGATTCACTTGTGGAGATGGTTACCAGCATTAAATTCCTGGGTGTGTAGTTAACAAGTAGGCTGACTTAGTCGCTCAACAGCGAGACACTAGTGAAGCGGATATAGCAGCACCTGCATTTTCTGCGTCACATGAGAAAAGCACATCTTTTTTCCCCTGTCCTTACCACTTTCTACAGAGGGACGATCAAGAGCATCCTGTCATATTGTCTGGTTTGGAAGTATCACTGCTTCAGACACAAAGGCAGTGCAGAGAGTGGTGAGGATGGCTGAAAAGATTATTAGAAATTTCCTCCCTTCCATCCAGTACATAGCATATAAGCGTTGCTTCAGCAGGGTCCACAAGATTGTCTGGGACACTACACATCCTCTTCACGACTTTTGTAGTATCCGAAGCAGAACATCCAGATTCAGACACAGTTTTGTTTCATACAGTATTAATCTTGTGAACTCTAAAGCTTCCTCCTTCCATTATGTATTCAAGATGGACAGTGATTAATATTTATATGTTACTTATATGTAAGGGTGTAGGTCTATACACGTTATATATAGTATGTTTAAATGTGTGTTATATATGTTTACACTTTGAGAGCAAACAAATAAATTTCATTTTTAATGTGTGCCATTGTGCTCACAGCAAAAAAATGACAATAAAGGTTATCTATCTATCTATCTATCTATCTATCTATCTATCTATCTATCTATCTATCTATCTATCTATCTTGAATTTAACAAAGTATTAAACAAAAATACCCAAACAGAAGCAAAATACACTGGCTTACATCCATAAGCTACTTTTCTGCACTTGTTCATATATCATATCTAATCATATATCTAATCTACAGTAAAATACTTATTTGAAAGATTACTGTATTTATCTGAAAGATTTTGAAATTAAAACAATCTCTACCAAACAAAATATATATATAGAAAAATAGTCTACCAATATCATAGTGAATGTAAGATAACCATCCATTTTAAAAATAAATTCTTTGAGTCTTTGGTCTCAGTCATAGCTTAGAACCACACTGTGTCGTTTTCTGCCATGGTCGCAGAACATATTTCCTTCTGACTCAGATATAGTTCATGGTTGGCTGGGGTATTCTGGGAGTTGAAGTCCATACATCTTAAAGTTACCAAGTTTGAGAAACACTGCTTCTGAAGCTTAGCAATAAGTGGTTTCTCATTGAGGAAACTCTTGCTTCAGCCTACTTCCTAATCTTCAATTATCCACCCCACCCAGCCATAACTGGTAAGTTGCCATGTTGCCATAATATTCTCAGATTGAGCGTCCTAAATAAAGCAAAGGAGCATGTTTTCTACTTCTCCCAAAGAAAAAGATATGCTGCTAGGTGATATCTGGCTTTTCATTCTCCCACTGATTAGTTGGGAAGTGCTGATTGGCTTATTTTAAATTCTCAATGGCTGTGATAAAGACAATCATAGCCTGTTAGAAAAATAGTTAATAAGTTTAAAGAGTGGTAATGGTGACTATGTGGAAGCATTTCTTCTTGTGTACATACAGCATCTCCATTCTCATGATCCATTTTATTTGTAAAAATGTTGTGCTCCATCCAACAGCCATTCTTTTTCATTAGTCTTTGAGAATTGCTGTGAAAGGGCCTTCACAGAAAACGTTGTCATCACAGTGATCTATCTGTCAATTGTTAATTAAGAGTTTAAATATTACAAATACTTACTACAAATAGATCAGTTGTAATGATATCATTTTCTTTTGCTTCTAGTCTTTTTGTAGATACCTTATTTTCACATGCATATGGCAAAGGGCAGCCTCTCAGGATTTCAAAAGAAGAATTTAAATTTTCCCCAGATCAGATGGAGGGTAGCAATCCTTGGCAAAGAACTGAGTATGATTTTTTTCCCCCTCCTAAATTATTTCTTACTTCTTACAACCTCCTCTTCAGAAGACACATTTGTTGGTGGCACAAAATATAGTGGCGGGATTAGCATGTGGAACAACATTTGTAAAGTAAGCATCCCATCCAGTGTGCAGGCATGTGCACTATATCAAAGGTCTCCAACCTTTCTTGATTGGCAGACCAGAGGGAAAGGGAAGGGGAAGCATTTTATGTGCGCCCGTGTATACAAACGGGGCCACGAGCATGTGCGACACAAACGGAGTGGTGCTAGTGCCCACATGACACTCGCTAGTACTGCCCCTTTTCCCCATCTGATGCCCCATTTTCCCCACACCGTGCCCCATTTCCACCCCTTTTTCCCCATGTGGCGCCCCATTTTTACCATGCAGTGCCCTGTTTGCGTAGCGGCGCTAGCACAAGTGGGGGTGAGTGCGTGCATGTACATGCACTGGCTAGATTGTTCTGCGGCCTGGTGGCCAGTAGGCCACATCCTGGTAGTGGGCCGTAGCCCACAGATTGGGTACCCCTGCACTATATCATGCAGTTAGGCAAATAAAAAATAAAAAAAGGCCAGGAAATGAGTACTTCCACAAATTACAATTTTGAACATGGCTGACAGAGAATGATCACCCTATAACATTTCACAGGTTGTTAAATGCGTTCTCCTAACTGAATCAAATTTATAGAGATTTTAAACAAGTGTTTAAAAATAGCCATGTCACACTGCTGGATTTGTAACAGAATATATATAAAAATATAATTTCAAAGGTTAAAATAGATTCCAACTAGTATACATATCTATCAGACAATCAAATGTGTGAGAGAGTACTTTTTAAAAACAGTTATTGATCTTAAAGAAAATATGCTTCCTTTTTAATCTTAAGTACATTTTAACCATCATCTTAATTTAGAACACATAATTAAAATACAACAATGATTTCTGAAGTGATTCATACGCATTTCTAAGTTCAACTGAAAAGAACTCAGAGATAGATACAGAGATAGATTTGATCATTTAGTTAAGGAACATATACTGATTTGAATTAGGCTCTCCTCGATATGATCTGGTTGTTGTTACACAGTCATAAATTTTGGCCCACATCTATCTTTATTCAAAACACATTTTACAGATTTCAATACTCAGAATAGGAATATTCAATACTGAGAATATCCATATACTGTATACAATAGAAAGTTCTCTTGTCTACCAATGTCATATCACTCTCTAGGCCTTGTTGCACTGAACCAAGTTTTATTTTCAGGGATCAGACACCTCAAAGCAATCATTTCTTGCCCCAACCTAAAAACTTCAAGGGTTAACCGTCTGCAATGACTTGCTGTATGCTGAAAAAAAGGTTCAAAGTCCCTGCATAAAAATATAAGAAGGTTGCTTTACCTACCAGAAGATTGAGGCTCTGCCATGATGAAATCCTCAGCAGGATCCCCAGGTTTGGACCCCAGCACAAATCCTTGGATACTCCAGGAGCCACTAACTCTGGTAGGCAGCCCCAGGGACACTGCATACTTTGCAGAGTTTCTGAGCCCACAGCCACCGAAACTTCACTGCTTCCTGCTGACTACATTTCCGTATCAAGAAACTTACTTGTTTCTTCATTTGCATATTTTTCAATTTACAAATAAGAGCCCCCAACCTCTGGTGGTAAATCTAATGCATAAAGTCTGCCTTTAGCCTATGCCAGATTACTCACCTTAGTTTCTATTAAGGAAACAACCATCTGAAAACTATATTATAAAAGTGTTAATAGTGTTCAGCATTTTATTCCTTTGATGGCATTAGTGCTGGGGCAGAGTCAAGGCATTCTTCAAGGTCTGATATCAAAACTGTGGATCTGTTTTACATGGAGGTTCTAATCGCACTTTCTTCATCTGCTTCGAAATAATTTTGGAAGACCATTTTAATCAGGCAGGCACTCATTCCTTTTTTTCTAGATTAGTCTATAACTGTCCATTTTCTTAGTTACTGTGCTGCACCATGTCTTCACTAAACCCGCAAATTTCTTGGCTAAAGATGGTTCAAAGAGAGAGGCCATATTAATCACACTGAAAAGCAAAGCAAAGAAATAAAAACATATCCATCCCCAGAAGCCAGAAAATATACATCTATTGGCTCTGCCCTTGCAGATAACATGGCCCAATCAAATGGAGTTATGCTATCCAAAAAAAGTGATGTCTAGTTCTTAATTGCCAAAGATTCTCCATCTCTTCCCTTTGGAATTCCAACACGAAGGATATAGTTGGGTAATAAAATACAAGATAAAAATATAAGTTTAAGGCAAATTTGCAAACATGGAGATGATGATGATCCTACAAATGATTATTTCCGTTCAAGGTGATCTTATTAGAAGGCATTAGAGACCAACCAGGATGCTGTTTGTTTTATTTCAACTTGGTGCACTAAGTGGACTTATCCCCTTGATTTAAAACTATAGCTTAGTCTGTTATGTGAATCCAATGAATTATTGTTTACTCAGCAAACCATGGTTTAAAATTGGCTTGGCACAATGTGTGAATCCAGTCGTTGAATCTGCAAGGTGAATTTAGATATTTCAGTTTACAAAGTAACAATAGGAACATAGAATCTTTTACCACTAAAGGTATAATCTATCTAAATATTGATCTTAAGAATTTAAAAGGATGAAATAATAGCTTATTTCATCTGGCATTTGTTCCAACAATCATAAAGACTAGCAAGCATAATGAGATGGAGTGCAGTCTACCTTTTATATACCATTGCTGTATACTTTTTGTGCTGTAGTAACTTCCGCTCAGGCAAGTTATTTTATTATGCCATTGGGGGTGACATCCTGGGCTTATTTTAAGAAGGCAACCCCCAGTCTCTGGGAAAGCCAAAATAAGAACAGTGATTTACTAGTAATGATTTCTTCAAATTAGGGACTGTCCATGGTAAGAATAGTTGGAAAATATGAGCATTTACCCAGATGCAAGTAAAACTATACTTTTTTAAAAAAAAGTTGAACCTAATTTAATGCCAAAACTTGTGCTTCTGATAGTGTCAGCAATGCAATGATCATGAATTTGGGCAAACTCTGGGAGACAGTGGATGATACAGGGGCCTGGCGTAATATGGTCCATGGGGTCGCGAAGAGTTGGACACAACTTAGGGACTGAAAAACAACAACTTGTGCCTCTGTGGTGTAACTGCAGAATTTGCTCAGAACTTTCAACATTTGTTGAAGTCACGACAGCTGCTGTAATGTTATTTTACAGACTTTAAAAGTGCCCCCATAGTACTCTGGGTAATAACAAATCTGCCTTCTAGGATAATAAGGAGGGTTTCAGTTCAGAATTTCCCACAACAAGCTAGTATGTATTACACTCTGAAGATCTGACTTATGCATTGTCTTCAGTGCAATGTGTTTTAATTTTTTGGTCTATTTCCTGTTTTTTAATTTTTGTTAGCCACCCTGAGTCACATGGTTGAGAGGGCAGATGTCTGCCTGCCTGCCATCTGTCTGTCTGCCTGTCTGCCCATCCATCCACCCATCTTCCGTTCAGTCATGTCCAATTCTCAGAGACTACCTGGACAAGCAGGGTTCCCCCCTCCCCCAGAAGGGCTTGCCATTGCCTCCTTCCTAAAGATGAGAGAAAATGACTAGCCCAAGGTCACACAGCTGGATTTGAAGAACTGTTAACTGTTAATGATAAGTGAGTCAAGAGGAGGAAATAAGGACTTGAGCATCTACTTCTGCATTCTTGAAGCCACAAAAAATATCTCATCTACCATCTTTCCAAGCCTTATGTGCCAATGATATTTCAAACTCTCTTAACCCAAAGTTAGTATAATGCTCAAACCTATGTCTAATTTCAAAAACTCTTTATAACCAACTGGTTAAAAGTGATGTGGTTTTTCTTTTTCTTTCTTTTTTAGACAGGAACCATCTAACTCTTTTTGGCCACCAGTTGGCAAGAAATAATTAAAGGGCCAGCAGTACAGAAAGGAGGAAATAATATAGAGAACGAGATGAAGTTAAATTCTAAAATATCTATGCAGGCTTTGGGCCCATGCACTGCCAGCATATAAATCCACAAAGAATCCTGCCCCCCATAAAAAGGGGGGGGGTCACTCCTAAACTATTAAACACAACCATTGGGAAAAAAACTTGATTAGTTGTTTACAATAATGTTGATTACTCAAGTCACCAAATAACCTCATCTGGGATAACAAAACTCTTATCTATGTTTCTAAAAGTACAGAAACTGACACAAGCAGGATAGGACTGAAGCCTAATCAAAATCCATTCCTGACCTACTTACATTAATAACCATGTTCATCAGGATGGTGATGAAAGCCTGTCTCCATCACCTCCTCATGTACTATTTATTTATTTTATTACATTTAGAGTCTGCCTGAGTTCAGATGATTCTGGGCAGCTTACATTATAAAAAAAGAAAAAGTACCAGTACTATGAAAAATTCTGTTTTTGAATGCTAAAATGGAAAACGATGATCTCCACTCATAGATTTTTCTCATACATGTTAAGTGGCTATATGGATTAAGTTCAAGAAGCTAGTTGAGTTATAATTTATATGGAATTATTGAGATCTACTTTGTTTTATTGCTAGTTGCCTTGAATACCCTATGAATAGAAAAGCAGATAGTTGAAATCTGTTGAATCGGTTGAACAGACAAACAAGAATACTTTTATATGTATTTATTATTTAATACACTATGAAAGCAATGCTGAAAATTAGTTCTGGGGTGTCTGAGAATTAAAAAAGGAACAAAGGCTACATCTATTCCTCAGAGAAGATAATGTTGCCTATCCTATCTCAGAAAGCCCCTAGGCCAGCAGCTCTCTTTTCTATACCCCCACCCCTAGAACGCTTCTGATATATTCTTGTTCCCCTTATAAAAGTTCGAAATAATGGCAATGAATTATGCATTTACATTATAATTTTGAAAACCCAAGTTTTTGCACCCCCTGGAATATCGTCTCACACCCCCGGTTTGGAACCCCTGCCCTAGGCAGTCAGAAAAGAGACAATTGCTTCATCAAAAATGTCTGAAAGCAGTTATGGACTCACCACACTATTTCTTCGGAGGCAATCCTCAGAGAACAAAGGGAGAAAAGATTTATTAAGATGTGGCTTAAAGGTCAAAAGATAGATAAGAAACTTTTCTGACCCCCAGCAGTTTTTTTTTATGTACATTTCCTTTAAATAGTGACTTGGAATTCATCTTTAATACAGAGATTTAATAGCAACAGGTCCCACTTCTGTGTGAACGTGTAAAAGCCTTTCTTTTGCACACACTTAGCTAAGCCAACATCTGTTTTGGCAGACAGAAAGGCCTTGAAGATGAGTGACATAAAGAACAATTTGGCTAAAGCAAAGGGATGTGTTAGCATCCGATTCTATGAATACACCAATGCTTGGTCCATAGTTTCCAGAGCTTTGTACTGAAAACTGGTGCTCATTGTGGAAAGTAAAGTCTAGAGTGACATCACAATAACAAGCTTTTCTTCCGGGATTCTAGATTGGCTTAAAAGTTCTAGTCTTTCGGGGTATCTCTTAGTTGAACTTTGATTACAGACTGATAATGCATTGATTGCCTCTGGGCTGCCTCTGATATATCTCTGGGACTCTTGTTTGTTCAGTGGTTTTTTCCCCATAAAGTCTTGGCAATTCATTTTCGAAAGAAACAAAGGTATGTGAAATGAATCCCCTCCTGTTTACCATGTATGTGTAATAATGCTTGCAACTGGGCTTATTAAATAATAAAGCTGTATGTTTGTGTTTCCTCTGACAGCCTCCTTTCATGAGCTTTGGTTGGCAAATATGAAACCCTGTTGTCTTACATCATTAATATTTCACTGAGGCTGAGATCATATGAAAAATCATATGGGTTGTGAAGCCTTATACAGGGTTGTTCCTTAAAACTCATTTAAATGGCTACCACCTCACCCTTGAACCAACAAAAAAACTATACTGGCATAAAATGCTTTGTCCCCATTGCCCATTTCTATCTTGCCCCAGGTATACTGCCCTTAAATATAGAGCTTGTTAAGGAAAGAGATGGGTGGATAACCTCAAAGGTGTTTTCCCTTTCTCACATCAAACCCCATCAGCCTGGGAAAACATACAGCAGTCACTCTCAACATGAGGATAGACCTGGGACCCAGAAGAAGGTGAGTTTTGATGTCTAGATTTTGTCCAACTAACAGGGAAAAGGCTTGCGAGGGGGAAGGGGGAAAGAGTGGGATGAAAGAGCTCCCCTGTTATACCGTGTAATATCCCATCACCTGTTAGCGTGGCTAATTTTACTTGTGCTTAAAAATAATCTGACAAGCATGCAGGAAGGTTGTACAACGTAGCAAGAATCCTGCTGTCCTGTACAATCCTTGTGCTTCTCTCAGTTGCTAAAGGGGTCCGTGATGGATGCAAAGTACAGTGGAAGATTCCTCCTGGCTCATACCATCCCCACCCTGGCCTCTCAATCCTTTGGGCTGCTTTTGAACCCAGGAAGTGTGCTGAGCCTATATTCAAATGCAGTCAGGACAGCAATTGCATGATATGAGATTAGAGCAGCGGTTCTCAACCTATGGGTCGCGACCCCATTTGGGGTCGATTGACCATTTTACGGGGGTCGCCAAACAATGCGATCTGCCATTTTTCCCCCTCAGGGGGCGGTGCCGTGCATGCGCGCTGCGCATGGGAGTGGCACCACGCATGGGGGTGCGCATGGGGGTGGCACCACGCATGGGGTGCGCATGGGGGCGGCACCACGCATGGGGGTGCGCATGGGGATGCCACGCATGGGGCACGCATGGGGGCACCGTGCATGGGGGCGCCGCGCATGCTCAGCACGTTTGTGTGACGGGGGTCACCGTCACACAAACATTGAGAAACGCTGGATTAGAGGTCTAGGTGCCATGAAGTGCCAAAGCAAATAGCAGCTCTCTCTTCCTCTTTCATTGCACAGACCTTCTGCAGCTGTGGATGATCAGCTACTATTTGGGCTGACCCAGATCTCCAAACCAGAATTAGCTTGGAGAGAGCCCAATTTGAAAAACCCTGTCTGTCCCATTCCCACAACAGTCCTTGAAGGGAATGAGGAAGTCCACCCCAATCTACAGATGTCAATAGGTGCCAGATGGGGTCATTTTAACAGAGCCAATGGTAGAGTTGTTTGGTAGACTGTATCCACAGCAAAGCTACTGAACTTGTTGCATGGTGATTTTAACCCCTGAACGCTTATGGACCTTAAGAATGGTCTGGATGTGAAGTAATGCAGTGTCACGAAGACATGGCAGAAAAAAGAGGCTGCTTAGTTGCATATGGGGAAAGGCCCCCAGGCACCAAGCCCAAGTGAAGTGATTTTGAAAAAATGATGCTCTTCTCAGCCTATCACTGAGAGGGAAATAAGGTTGTGAAACTATTCCCATTACTTCATGCTCCCTGCAGAAAAGGATGGCTATAAACATATCAAATGAAGTATCTGAGTAGAGACCTATGACAAGTGTCACCTATCATAATAGGCTGCACACTAAAATTCTTTCTGCATGTTGATGCAAAGTACTGGCGGAATGCAAGCAACAGTATCTTGGCTTGCTGGTTTGTTGATTAGTTATCCTAGCTTGCATAGAATAGTATAAGTATGCTTGAGATAAAACTGGCCTATGGTTGGCCAACATGCATTCAAAGTGACCAATAATGTGCCCTTGCAGTCAGCAGGAAATGCTGCATATAACGCAGTGTAACTAAAGCCAGCAAGCTATACCTTCTCTATGTTACTAAAAAAAAAATAGCATTACATGAAAGCATTGTTTGATTAAAGCCAAATGGGCAGCAGAATTGAAGGATCCACACAGTGGTATTTCCTTTTCTTTTTTTTCTTATTGAGTGCCTTTTACTTACTTTTCCCAACTCCTTTTCTGCAATTTGCATATCTTTACTTATCTCCAACTTGCCACGACCAACTCATTACAGCCAACTCGCCACAGGACAACTCACCATGGCCAACTCGCCATGGGACAACTCGCCAAGGGACAAGACTTACACTAATATCAAAGAAATGGTGGAATAGAATCATTGAAGAAAGGATGCAAAAGGAGGGGCAGAATGAAATGTGGGATGACAAACATTAAAATAATTTTAAAATTATTTTAAATAATTAAATTGAATTGTTGAATTATCCTGTGGCAAGTTGTCCCCTGGCAAGTTGGCCACGACCAGTTGGCTGTGGCGAATTGGCCATGATGAGTTGGCTGTGGTGAGTTAGCTGTGCCAAGTTATCGCATTCCAATCTCCAAAGGGAAAAGCATGATGCCATGTATACAATATCGACTCCCAGGATGTTAGCCGTCCTGGGTGATAGCCTAATAAGTTTGAAGAGAACTTGATTCAAGTAAAGATGATCTTAATGTTTGTTGCTATTATTCTTAATGAACCTCTAAGACTTACCATTCACGCATGTGATAAGAGACGCTATGGCTGCCTGGCTGGTGCAAGCATTCAAAACTGGATACTTGCTGAGAAAGCAGGAGACAGACTGGAGCAATTCAAACAATTTAATTTCAGCAGGGCCTGAAAGCATGCCTCCTGTAATAATAACCATAATAATGATTAAATCATCATCACTTTTATTTTGTGCCTTTGAGTCTCTGTTGGTTGCTCTAGCTGCCTAGACTGGTCCTAGCAGTTTCCCTGGCTACATTTTCAGAAGTGGTTGGCCCTTACAGTAGTTTCTTCCTAGGGCTGAAAGAGGACTGGTCAAAGGTCAGTCAGTTGGCTTTGTGCCTAACACAGAACTAGAATTCATAGTCTCTCGGTTGCTAGCCTAATGCTTTAGTTTAAACGCTATGTCTAAATGGCTATCAATAATAACAATACAGAATATTAATAATTTGGCATAGTGTATATGCATTATTTCTTGCAATTCTC